TAGTCGGCTTTTGGAAGATAGTAAATAAAGAAATAGCAAATGTAACAAAAGGAGATAAACAAAAATATCGAAATTACGTATGGTCCTAAGTTACTTGTGTTTTTCTTGCATTTAAAGAAATAATTTATTAGTCTAGCTGTAAATGAATGGCAATGGCTGATGCACTTGCAGAGGAGAATGTCTCTTTAGCCAAATAAAAGAAATTAAGATGAAGATGACTAGCAGCTTCTACTATAACCAATAATCAATTCTGGCAGGAGTTTGACACATTTAAATCTTTTTAAAAGCCTTAATTAAACATTAAACTTTGCCTCAAATGGCAAGATAAAATACTAGACACGGAAGTTTTCTTACTTTACTTTTACTTTTACTTTTTCATCCTCTGTTGCCATTAAGCGTCGAGGGGTGAAACAATTGTCTATGGTAGGCCAACTCTGCAGCTCTTTCAGTTGTGATGTTATGTTTTCTTTTGGTCTCCTTGACACCCTCGATCTACCTTCCTCTCCCTTTATAGCCTGAGTGCTTGGTATTGTAGGCTCTCGACGGTGGCTGATCAGGTGACTTGCGTAACAGGTGGCCAAACCATTTTATCCTCTGTCTTTCTATGTAATGCAGGCAGGACTCAGTGCCGATAGCTGCTCTTACTTCTTCATTTCTCTGCCTGTCTCGTTTTGTGGTGTTACGGTTTTTGCCCTTTCAAGAGGGAAAATGTCGAGAGTGTTTTGTTTGCCCTGACAAGGATTCAACTTCACTGGGCTGGCCATGTTGTAAGAATACTTAATTTCGGAATCCTAAAGGCAGTAATCCATTCTGCACTGTCCCTAGTGATGCGTAAGGTTGGCGATCTAGAAAAAAAGGCGATACAAAGGCACCCTGAACATGTCTCTGAAGATCTTCAAAATAAATACTTCGACATGGGAGAGCCTTGCTCATGACAGACATAGCTGATGAACGGCAGTTAGTGTGCAGCAAATCATATGACGCTTCACGAATAAAAAATGCTGAAATCAAGATACCTTTTTGATAAATAAATAAAACTGTGTTCACCACTTTATATTCGTTAAGGAACATACATGAGAATCCAACCATAGAGCAGTGACCGGGCAAACGAATCTCCTACAATAACATTATTGCAGAACAGGGGTAGATCAGAAAGGATTGTGTGTACCGTGATAAATTAAACCTTTTTTTCTTGGAGAGCCAATTTATTAAAATAAAAAGTAATAAAGAATTAATCATTATTATACAGTTCCGCTGTCGGTGGTGCAATATTGCTTTGCGAAAAAAAAGAAAGAAAGAAAGAGAAATAAAAGATAGACGTAGTAATAAATGATATTTTTCAAGTTCCCGCGGCATATTATGTGGAGGGAAAATGAATGGCATCGGGGTGAAATCATGCGCTCGTTGAAATAATGAAATGGAAGAACTCATCACTTTCCAGCAAGTTGTGCAACTTTTGTCATTTTTTAGTTGTTCTTTTTATTGTTTTGGCTAAACACCGTGTGTGTCCATTTAAAAATAACACACTTGTGAGTGCATCTTAGAGAAAAAGATTGATCAAAGACACAGAAAAAATCAACATTAATTTAGAGTTTCTAAGGACACTCAATCTGTGGCAGTTGGAAGTCAAGAATATTTGGAGGTCATATACTTCAAACGTCAGGCAACCCCCCACCTCATTCAATCGCAAATATCTCGATGTTCATTCGAGATATAATATAGGGATTTTAAAAAAATCAAAAGTTAGGCAAATAAACAGGCCTTAAGATTATTATCAACAACTCCAAATGCCTAACAATCAACGAGCGCCTCATTCCACCGCGTCGTGACGCGTATTACTATATCAGCGGTCAGAAGGATACAGACGGCATCAGTGATTAATCAAGGCCCTCCCGCCTCTGGCAGTTCGCTATTTGATGTAAAGAGGGCTACGTCTGCTGCTCATGTCCAGAACTGCTCGCCAGCTGCCTGGCGGGGGAGAAAAGATGTCCACTTCTGTCTGTGCTGCCCTCTAGCTGACTTTGTGTTATTATTATCTTCAGCTGTCTGTGCAGTGTCCACTGAAGAGTGATGCTGATCCTCTATTCTATGAGTTATAGCGGGCTAGAGGGGATATATTGGAGAGTGGATTGGGTTAAGGGAGGGGGGGGGGTTTAGGTGGGGGGGATGGAGGAATGTTGGGGAGGGAGGGGGCAACACACACACACACACAGTCAAACACACGCACCCACCCACACACACACACACACACACACACACACACACACACACACACACACACACACACACACGCACACGCTCTCTCTCTCTTTCTCTCTCTCTCTCTCTCTCTCTCTCTCTCAAACAAACACACACACACAAATTATATTATTATATTAGACGGGTAAAAAACATTTGGATAATCTTGGTTTGATCAAGTAAGAATATCAAGGCGAAATGTGTGTTGGGAAGGGTTGTCATTGACCTTTAAGCACAACTATTGAAGGAGAGTGACAATAGAAAGAGAGAGTGAGTGTATGTGTATGTGCGTGTGTGTGTGTGTGTGTGTGTGTGTGTGTGTGTATGTGTGTGTGTGTGTGTGTGCGTGAGTGTGTAAGAGAGAGAGGGAGAGAGAGACAAAGAGAAAGACAAAGCGAGAGAGAGAGAGACAAAGAGAAAGACAAAGCGAGAGAGAGAGAGAGAGAAAGATAGACAGACAGACAAACAGACAGACAAACAGACAGACAAACAGACAGACAGACAGACAGACAGACAGACAGACAGACAGACAGAAGGGTGGGGGTGAGAGGTAGGTAGAAAGAAAAGGGGGTGGGTGAAGGAGCAAGAGAAGAGGAAGACGGGAGGAATAAGAAAATGTGACGGTAAGGGTCGGTGACATAATGCTACCTTTGATATTAAAGGTGACTGATTTGATTTTGCCAGCAAAAGCGATGATATAACTAAAGATTTATCACACGTGAATCCTGACAAAGGTGTCTCTTATAACCGAATGATGTCTATAAGCTCCTTACGTAAACTAGTATTATATAAACACATTTTATTCGTTTAAACAGGCTGGAAGGAATATATTACAATATCAAACATGGTCAGCAAATTTCGTTTTGACTTTTAATGTTCTGTAACGAGAGGTTATGTCATAAACCAAGGTTCTTTACTGCGATTTGCAATTAGTTTTTTGTCGTGATTAAGGTTGATTTCAGACAAACTTAAAAGATCACATTGTTGTTGGCAAATTTTGTTAACATAAATAAATCCAGAGAGTAACTCTTTTATAGGAAAAGGAAAAAGCTTCTTTCTTTTAGACACCGTGTTTGGGTTTTTTTTGGTTTTTTTTACTTCTTTGAAATTAAAATTAAGCAAGAGATTTCTTAAGCTAATGTAATCGATGTCATAGATTAAAAAACTGTAATTAAGATATTTCACCACATTAAAATAATTAATAGGGGCATAGTAGGCGTATGTTTTACTTATAAAAAAGTAGGATTTTTACTTCTACTGCGAGTTTTACGGCACCTGCAATAAAAAATATTATTATGTGCTGAAGATTTGAGGTGTCATGCAGTGACTCACTAAGAAAAGTAGAAGGAGGAGACGACCTAAGGAACGACAGAAAAGAATGAGAAACCATACCACAACTTTGGCCAACCATCTGCAAACAGCAACTGCATGTGCGTGTGTGAGTAGGTATGTGTGTGTGTGTGTGTGTGTGTGTTTGTGTGTGTGTGCATGTGCGTGTGTGAGTAGGTATGTGTGTGTGTGTGTGTGTGTGTGTATGTGTGTGTGTGTGTGTGTGTGTGTGTGTGTGTGTGTGTATGTGTGTGTGTGTGTGTGTGTGTGTGTATGTGTGTGTGTTTTGTTTATGCAAATATAACAGACAAAATCCCTTGCTTTTTAGGTTTTGTTTTTGCTTGTTTTTGTTCTTGTTATGTTTCTCTGTCTATGAAACACCCCGTGAAGTGCTCGGTTGAGATGACGTGCGCTTCACATTAACAGGAAATTGTACGGATGTAAATAGGTTTCCACAACAATTTGCTGCCGCTCTTTTGTCTCCGAGACGTTTCCCACGTTTTGTACCACAGAAAAGCCTTTCTTGTTGCTATAAAACGAATAGGCAAGCCGATAAGCTTCCAAGCAAAACAATGTAACGGAACAAGTGAGCTGTGCAGAAAGTATGTAATTTGTATCAGTTTCCTTTGTTCACGCCTCTCCATAACCCCGATGTTCTCCTCGCTTTCATCTTCCATTGTTCGTTGCTGGTGTAAGAGTCACGAAATCTGCTATAGCGGTGACTTCCTGTCTAAATCCTTAATTATTTTTTTCCATCTTTCTTCTCTTCATTCTTTACCTTTCTATACATCACCAGTATTCAAAATATCATTCTTTAAGTTCACCTGCTAAACGCATTGTTTTTCGGCTGCTACCATTGACACAGCCATCTCTTTTTGTTCGTCTTGTTTTTGTTCTTGTTCGTGTTTTTGTTGTTGTTGTTGTTCATGTTTTTATTCTAGTTCTCGTTCTTGTTCTTGTAAGTGACAACTATTGTTGCTATTGTCGTATTCCTCTCCACGTTTTCCTATGTCTTTCTCCTCTGACTTACCTGCCTTTTTACTTCTTCCGTGTTCCTTTCATGGTATTGTAGTATAATACTACTAATAAAATCATCATCATCATCATCATCATCATCATCATCATCATCACCATCATCATCATCATCATCATCATCATCATCATCATCATCATCATCATCATCATCGTCATCATCATCATCATCATCGTCATCATCATCATTTTATAGCACCAACTGTCAAGACAGCTGTAGGCGTTTTTTAAAATAAATATATATTATTATTATACAAATTCAAAAACAAGCAATACAGTGCATAATAATATGATGTGGAAAAAGTTCTCATAACCACTCTAGTGGTGCTAAATATTTTTGGTATCTATTGTATTTTGTTTACGTTTCTTTCAAAATCTCGGTCTCTATTTTACCTCCACAGTCGACATCGGTGTCCGTATCAGTGCTAACGCTGAGTGCCATTGCAGTAGAGCGCTGGTGGGCCATCTGCTACCCCCTCAAGTTCAAATCCACCATGTCCAGAGCCAGAAAAATCATCTTTCTCATTTGGGTAGTTTCTTTCCTGTCGGCGCTACCGGAAGTCATTGTTGCCACGACCCACCCTTATCCTTTCCCTGGACATTTCACATCCATATATTTGACCAGATGCAGGTGAGCTCAGAATGTCTAATTAGATTGGTGGGTGTTTGGTGGGTGCTCTGGTGTGGGGGTTTTTTCTTTCCTACCAAACAGCTATCGTCCTTATCTATCCTCTTTCTTTTGTGTGTATGTTACCCGCGGTTATCTTTTCAAATCTTCGGCACTAATTTGACTTAAGTGCGATGAAGTGTTGCAAAACGATCACTTTAAAAGAAGCAACTACTAATAATAGAGAGATAGAGAAAGAGAGAGGGAGAAAGAGACAGAGAGATGGAGAAAGAGAGAGATAGACAGATAGAGAGAGAGAGAGAGAGAGAGAGAGAGAGAGAGAGAGAGAGAGAGAGAGAGAGAGAGAGAGAGAGAGAGAGATTGAGAGTGTGACAGAGAGAGATAGAGAGACAGAAAAACAGAGATGACTAGAAAGAGAGAGAGAGAGAGGAAAACGATGGGGTGGGGGTATAAAGAAACAGAACTGAATTAATATTTCGTGGCAAATGAGCTTTACTCAATTTCTTAATAAAAAGATAATTTTATTACGGTTTTTTCCTTTGTGTATTTGTTTGCTGTTGAGGTTTCTTTTTGGTCGTCTTCATTTGTGTTCTTATTTGTTTCATTATGGATTGGATTGTTTTGCTGATTTTCTCTTTTATTAGGGAGAGAGGGTTGAACTTGAATTGGTATGCTGGACGGGGAAGGTTTTGGGGAACAGTCTGAAATGAGATGGAAGTGGTCGAGCCAGGTGTGGAGGGAAGCGTTGCAAGGGCGCTATTTCCTCTCCCTTTTCTTATTCTGCACGCACTACATACACATCCAGTTAAAGCTGACCCACCTTTTGAAGTACGGTGTAAGGGCAAACTTCCCCCGTAACGTGTAAACTTGAGACAAAATATTTTGTGTCTCACTCCTCCCTAAAACGACATATTTCCATCGGTTCTGCTTCTCCTGTCTCGCTTTTTAAATGTATTTTTATTTCTTTAAGAGAGAAACATAATGTTGCGCTAGACCTCTTGAAGAACGAGAATAAGGCGGTCCATTAGTTGGTAAGAGCGGGGTTCGTCCATGTTAACACGATTCTATGGAACTTCCAAAATATTCGAGGAAAATGGCAAAGATTTCTGGAGGGGAATCTCCCTTATTTTCCTAAAGGGTGAGAGAAGTAATCTATTACAATTTCTGCCAAAATGTTCTCATTTCAAGAATCTGTCTGGGCTACAAGTGTTTACAGAGTTAGTGCGTTGGCATGTTTAAGAATTCCTTCTTGAGCGTCTTAAGACTCTTCCCGAAAGAGCTTTCTATAATTTTCGTTTTAAGATCGTTTTGTTTTGTTTTTTGCTTTTTTACTTTTTTTGGTTTGTTTTTGTTGTTGACTGTTTTGTTTTACTTCCGTAGTCTCAAATCCGCTGTCCTCAATAACAATATGAGGTAGGAAAAGATAACATGAAATAAGTTAACAGTTAACTGATTTCAGCACAAAATGACAATTTGCAGAGGCACGCGTAAACGCATACCCCCAAACACCACAAACACCAATACACGTACTCTCTTGTCTCTCATCCCCCCTCTCTTTCGCCCTCTCTCGCTCTCTCTCTATATCTATCTATCTCTCTCTCTCTCTGCCCTCTTCTCTCTATCTCTATCTCTGTCTCTCTATTCCATTCTCTATCTCTTTCTCACATGCATACAGGCATACAAACAGGCAAACATTGGAAAACAAACGCACACACACACAAACACACACACACACACACACACACACACACACACACACACACACATAAACACACCTATACAAACTAACCTGACACAACGGTACTCAGTTGAGGGTGAACGTTAAAGTAGTATTATTATAATACCAACGTGTATGTGAATACGTTCTCTTTTAGTCTCTTCGTATCTCACCCCCTCCTCTCTCTCTCTTTCTTTCTCTCCCCTACACCTCCCCTTCCTCTCGATCTCTCTCTCTCTCTCTTTCTCTCTCT